GAGAGCCACGTAGACAGTGGCCCCGCTGCGGTGCGGGACCGACACCCCCTCCCCGCGGGTATGGGGTCGAGTGGGTGCGCACCCGGGCTAGGGGTGTCGCAGCGCCTCCAAAAAGTGTAGTGTTCCACCCACCACCTGGCTGGCGATGGCGCAAGTGCCACCTGCACCGGAGACCCTCCCGCAGACTTCATGCTGCGCGGGTGTGAATACGCATCCCCTGGAGACTCCAGACGCGGCTGGGGACAGAGGGCAGCTGGAGACTGGCCCTGGCCCGGAGAAGGGTGTTTCGTTCAGTTCAGTTCTTGGAAAGTGGGGGGAGGGGAGGTATGTAAGGAAAAAAGTGAAGATAGGGAATATTTAAAATAGACACATTTTAACCAAGCTGCTCAAATTATTAACATTATGAAGGTTGAGGCAATGAGAAAAGAGTTCATTCTTAATTCTAACTACCCTGGGAACTTAAACTTTTTTTGAGTTTCCCAATCCTGCATCAATGCCTGGATATACATCTGGACTGCGGGTAATCCTCTACCCCTGAAGGACTCCCATACATGCCCACATGACATCCGTTATCCAGACCACTGGGTGCGACCAGGCCTGACACCCCTCCTCTGGACCGCCTGGCACCCCTCCCCTGTACCGCCTGGCATCCATCATCCCGACTGCCTGACCTCTGTTTGATAACGGTGTGGACCAGACCTAGGACTCAGAATGCAGGACTGATAATTCTCAAGAATATATATTTTTTTACTATAAGAACTTGTAACTTTTCTCCTTTGTGATACTTCTGGGGTTTTGCCTAGCTGTGTTCCTAGCTGCAAACTCCAAGAGCTTTGAATAAATATAATTTACTAGCGAAGACTCCAGGCTCTTTTTGAGTTCATTTGACAAGGGTATTTGTGGGGACATAAGACTTCCAGACAAAGTAGCAGGTACAGCTTTACAAGCCGTTTTGTTGCCCTCCAGCCACCACCCTTCGAAGGGGCAAAAAAACTAGCCAGGTCAAGCTGGGGCTCCTGAGGGGCAGCTCCGCTGGGCAGGAGGGTGGTCAGTTGCCCTTGGCATCCCTTTGGGCACATTAGTGTCTGGGCTGGTCCTTCGCAGGGCAGTTCTCAGCTAGCCTGTCCCCAAACCCCAATGTGTCTGTCATCTTCTTATAGAGAAAGCCTGCACTAGGAGCCTCTTTCCCGGATAGCCATCTGGGTCTGGCTATGCTTTGGTATAAACATTTGACATGCATGTGAGTTTTAAACGGGAAGAGAGGAGTCTTCACCTCATTTCTTACTTATTTGGGATGCTGAAACACTACAATGTAACCCCCAGGAGTAATGAAAAACTAAATCCCTATGTCATAGACATTATCAGAGAGAGCGGTAGGGTTGTTTTATGCCCATGTATATTTACACCCATAGCACCTCAGAGCTGAACGGTGCTTGATCCAGCACACACGTATTTTTAGAATAATGACTGTGCCGCACCAGCACAACCAAGGGTGATTCCGAGTGGGGGTGATGAAAGGATTAAGAAAAGACAGACATGAGAATGAAAGCTGGGTCTCGGTGGGATGCTGCTCCCCTGATGGACAGCGCCCATGCCCACAAGTCGTGTCTTTATTTTCTAGCAGGTGCCACGAGGCAAAGTAAGGGCGTGATCAAGTTGTTTACAACATTCTCGTGGGTTTCAGTCCCACTCCATTAGATGCACCTGAACTCTATCACTCAGGCACGTGGGGCCACGTGTTTGGATCACAGGCTCAAGCTCACAACTATAGCTGTTGGCTATAATTGTGCTGGGAGGGCTCTGCCATCCAAGCCGGGACTGTGCCCTCTCATCAGTCCAAGGCTTGAAACTGTCCAAAACACTGTGGCCACGCCCCACAAATGACACTACCGATTCTGGTGGGATTGAACTGGGCATGATTTTTGAAGAGAAGAGATTGTCAGTGAGTTTTGAAGAACTGTGCCTTTTCATGCACTAGAGCAATGAGTCTTGAGACTTGTAGGTCTGACAATATTCTAGTTTGCCTCTGTTATGCTTGTTAGAAAAGGAAGCCAAAGAGAAAGTGTCAAGTTTGAAGACAAGGCTTGAGTTCACCATTTACCAGCTGATGACCTTGGGTGAATTACACATAATTGCTGCTGCTTCTGCTCATCTACAAAAATGGAGATGTTGCCCTAACCGGTTTGGCTCAGTGGATAGAGCATTGGCCTGCGGACTCAAGGGTCCCAAGTTCGATTTCGGTCAAGGGCATGTACCTTGGTTGCGGGCACATGCCCAGTGGGGAGTGTGCAGGAGGCAGCTGATGAGTGTTTCTCTCTCATCGATGTTTCTGACTATCTCTCTCCCTTCCTCTCTGTAAAAAATCAATAAAATATATTTAAAAAAAAATTCTATGGCAGAGACAACTTGCAGACATTGGGCTTCTGAAGAAAACAGAAGTGAAAATTAAACTGGGCAAGCAGAGTTGGACAAGAAGTTAGGGGACCTCAAAGGGATCCAGCCCTAATGTGTCCTCAGGGGGAAGTTGTCAGTGCCTGAGTGGCCTTGTGCTGTGCGTTAGGGTAATTTACCAGGCAGGCTTGTTATGGCGAGATGATAGGGAGGGAAGAACCTGGAACAGGAAGGCATTAGAAGGCTGGGGCAGTGGCCCAGGCAAGAAATAAACAAGGAAGCGATAAGGGACAGGGAAGAGCAGAAGTCAGGGGGACGGAGCCAAATGGGGTCATGTTGACCTCTCAGTCTGTCAATCTGGGGCCAGAGCAGACCAGGGGCTGGAGTTGGCTTTCGCACAGTGACAGAGAGAGGAGTGTGGGGCTGCCTCACTAAGGTCGAGTGGGATTCTGGGGCTGGTAGCTGTCAGGCAAGGGAAGGACTCTCTCACACCTGCAGGACTGCCAGGCGTAACCCAGAAAGGGCAGGGGTTGCACAGGGGCCCAAGAGTCTATAAGCAGGTGCAGATCACTGACTATAAGCAGTGTGCCCTTCGAGTCTCTTCTGCCTTGAGCTGAAGTGATTCTGAAAGGTGTGCGGCCTCCCTTTATGTTCAGACCTTTGGTGGGGAGACTCTCAAGCAGATGGCTGCCAGTAGGGGATGGGCAGGGACCCCTCTCAGAGCAAGTCACCACGTGTTCCGGTAAAGCCGCTACCCAGGGAAAGGGCCAGTGCAAGGGCAGTTCCAGAATCAGACAGGCCTTAACCAGAAGGGCGCCTTGAAGGAGTGGGTATTCAGGACAGACACCTCTGGGGCTTGGCCCCCTGGAGCTGAGCCTGCCTAGGGCCCCCTTAGCAAGCACTGAGTGTCTGCCTTTTGGCATATGGTGAGCAGCCAAGCCTTGGACCGGGTCAGGGCCTCTGGGGGAGGCCATGCTGAGAGAAGGAATAGTCCCTGGAGCCTGGGGAGGGAGGGGAGTAAGGAAAGCAGAGGCTGGGAATTGACTCCAGGGCAGGCAGCTGTCCTGCCTGGCTCTGCCACTCTCTACCAAGTATCCAAAAGACTCCCCTACCTCCTGCGCTCCCTCCCAGAATCCTCAGGGGTTGTAGCCCCATCCCCAACGTATCCATCCCAGCGGCCACGGCTGCTTCTTTGTGTGAGAGACGGC